CGGCTGCAGGTACTGGCCGATGGTCAGGAAATCGACGTCGGCCGAGCGCAGGTCGTCCATCACCTGCTGCACCTCGCCGCGGTCCTCGCCCAGGCCGACCATCAGGCCCGACTTGGTGAACAGCGTCGGGTCGAGCTCCTTGACCCGGTCGAGCAGGCGCAGCGAGTGGAAGTAGCGCGCGCCCGGCCGCACCGAGGGATAGAGCCGCGGCACGGTTTCCAGGTTGTGGTTGAAGACGTCCGGCCTGGCCGCGACCACCACCTCCAGCGCGCCTTCCTTGCGCAGGAAGTCGGGGGTCAGGATCTCGATGGTGGTGCCCGGCGCGGCCTCGCGGATCGCGCCGATCACCTGGGCGAAGTGCTGGGCGCCGCCGTCGTCCAGGTCGTCGCGGTCGACCGAGGTGATGACCACGTGCTGCAGGCCCAGCTTCTTGACCGCCTCGGCCACCCGATAGGGCTCGAAGGGATCGAGCGGATTGGGCCGGCCGGTGGCGACGTTGCAGAAGCTGCAGGCCCGCGTGCAGGTGTCGCCCATGATCATCATGGTCGCGTGCTTCTTGGCCCAGCACTCGCCGATGTTCGGGCAGGCGGCCTCCTCGCAGACCGTGTGCAACCGGTGCTCGCGCACCACCTGGCGGGTGTTGTGGTACTCCCGGCTGACCGGCGCCTTGACGCGCAGCCACTGCGGCTTGCCGCGCTGCACCGGATTGTCCGGCTTGTGCGCCTTCTCCGGATGGCGCAGGCGGGGCTTTTCGGTCAGATCGGTCATTGCTTCACCTTATCAGAGACCAGCAACGCTTCGGCCGCTTCACCCAGATGCTTACCCAGATGATGCCGAAGCCCTTCTCGTCGGCAGTCAAACCTCGATGCGCCTCGACCCACGTTCGGCTTCCCTCGGCCGTCTCCTCGGACCGACATGTTCGCGAATCGATGAACGCGTCGACGATCGCCCGGTCTGCAAGGTTACGCGCCGACGACAAATCGACACCGCGCCGATTGGCTCGCGGCCCACCCCCGCCAAATCGCGATTCCTATTCCAAGGAGACCGCCTGCGACGATGGCCCGGTTCCGGACGATCTCGCTGGCATCGACTGTCCAGAGATCGCCCATGCCTCACCTCTCAGAAATGGATCGCCCGGCCGTAGGCATCAAGCACGGACTCGTGCATCATCTCGGAGAGGGTGGGGTGCGGGAAGACGCTGTGCATCAGCTCGGCCTCGGTGGTCTCGAGCTGCATGGCGACCACGTAGCCCTGGATCAGCTCGGTCACCTCGGCGCCGATCATGTGGGCGCCCAGCAGCTCGCCGCTGTCGGCATCGAACACCGTCTTGACCAGCCCCTCCGGCTCGCCCAGCGCGATGGCCTTGCCGTTGCCGATGAAGGGAAAGCGCCCGACCTTGACCTTGTGGCCGGCCGCCTTGGCCTTCTCCTCCGACAGCCCGACCGAGGCGATCTGCGGGTGGCAGTAGGTGCAGCCCGGGATGCGCCGCACGTCGAGCGGATGGACGTCGGCCTTGCCGGCGATCTTCTCGACGCAGATGACGCCCTCGTGGCTGGCCTTGTGCGCCAGCCAGGGCGCGCCGACCACGTCGCCGATGGCGTAGACACCCGGCTCGCCGGTGCGCATCCAGGCGTCGATCTTGATATGGCCGCGCTCGACCTCGACCTTGGTGCCCTCCAGGCCGAGGTTCTCGACATTGCCGACGATACCGACGGCGGAGATCACTTTGTCGACCTCCAGCGTCCGGGTCTTGCCGCCCTGCTCCACCGTGGCCTTGACCGGGCCGGCGCCGTTCTTGGGCTTGTCGAGCTTGGTCACCTTGGCCTCGGTCAGGATCTTCAGCCCCTGCTTCTCGAAGGCTTTGCGGGCGAAGGCGGAGATCTCCGGGTCCTCGGCCGGCACGATGCGATCGACCAGCTCGACCACGCTCACCTCGGCGCCCATGGTGTGGTAGAAGCTGGCAAACTCGATGCCGATGGCGCCGGAGCCGACGACCAGGACCGACTTCGGCATGGTCTCGGGAACCATCGCCTCCTTGTAGGTCCAAACGCTCTTGCCGTCGGCCTCCAGGCCGGGAAGCTGGCGGGCGCGCGCGCCGGTCGCCAAGATCACGTGGCGGGCGGTCAGGTCGGCCACCGCCTTGCCGTCCTTCTCGACGTGCAGCTTGCGCTTGTCGCCGCTGGTGCCGTCGAGCCGGCCGTGGCCGTCGACCACCGTGACCTTGTTCTTCTTCAGCAGGTGCTTGACGCCGCCGGTGAGCTGCCCGGCGACCTTGCGCGAGCGCTTGACCACGGCCTCCAGGTCGAAGCCGATCTTCTCGGCGCTCAGGCCGTAGTCCTTGGCATGCTGGAAGGTGCGGTAGACCTCCGAGGTGCGCAGCAGCGCCTTGGTCGGGATGC